ATGTTATCAAGTGTTCTCGAATTATGATAACAGAAGACTGGGTATTGTCCCACCTGGTGGTATATATGAAACAAATACCCAGGTGTGAGTATTCAAACCAATATTACAGTAAATATATATATATATTGAACGATATATAGACATATGGAATATTGTATATGAATGAACTATATATATATGTATGTAGGTCAGTGTGAATAGCCATATACTATAATTATGAATATGAATACCTTAATCGTCAAATAATTTTACTATTTTACCCACGCTAGGGTTTTTTCACGTCACATTATACATTATACACAAAACGCTGTAAAATATCAGCTTTTATATACAACACATAAACTAGAGCTTTCAAGCGTAACGGACCTAGTCAGCTATTGTCAACAACTACCCCCAAACTACCAAATTATTGTCGGTTCACATAACGTTATATATTAAATCGAATATATGATAATGTTTTACGCTTCAATGACTATTCGGTATTGTATTGTTGAAAGCCAAGCCGTTGTGTTACTCACAAATTTTAACACCTTCACAAAAAAACCTTTATATATAGTTTGTAACATACCAGGCCTTGTCATAGTCATTAGTACCTTGTTTCGATATTGTTTACATTTCTAAAAATACAATTTGAGGTCTTGTAACTTAAACCGTTTGATTATAAACACGTGAATTGTTTTAGAAATGGGTGTGTATGTTTCTAAACTCAAGAATGTCTAATAATTTGTTTTATTTATTTGAATATGCCTACATTTGTTAAATGACGAAGGATATAACGTTTCAGTTGAAAAACAATATTAAATATTTCCCTAATATTTTAGTTTTCGAAAAAATATATTTTAACAACTGAAATGAAGTAAGGTTTAACTTTTCAATTTTTCTGTACTTCGCAGGCGAAGACATTTTAACCTACTTTTCATCGAATTCCATCTGCCAATGGTTTTTTAACATGCGCGCCACCGTTTACACGGGACCTCGGTTGTTCGTCCTACAACCGACTAGGAAAAACCACCCTAAAAACATCGGGATCGAATCTGGAGATTTCAGGTTAATGAGTAAGCTACTGTGGCTCCTTTGTTAAATCATGGAACTTATAATGTATTATAAGGTCCATGGTTAAATGTCCAAGGGAATAATATAGGTGAAAAACCGTAATAACTATTTCCGTGTATATTATTTACTCTAGTTCCAGATCTAAAGAATAATTCAGGGTTGTTTGATCTGAGTTTAAGATGTTGGAATTTGACGTGTATTAATATATAGTTATAATGCAGGTGTAAAACAAGGTGAACCTGTTAGGCTCGTTCTCTTTATATAACCCACTTATGTATTTATTGTACAAATAATTACCAGTTACTTAAACTCAATTATATTTGGAGATTTTGCTGATGTAGTAGTTTTCTGAGGGTTGTTCATAAATTTATGTGTAACAGAGATGCATATTATATATAACACGTGAGAAATACTAAGAGGTTGGGGTGGGTGTAGGTACATTTTGCCTTCTCCTTATCGAATGTATATACTGGTGGACCTAATTTGTTTGTTGCACCGAACACCTAAGCAATCTTTTATTTTTCAATTTCACAGGGGCTACCCCTGGCAAGTGGGAACCGGGCGTGAATAATTCTTAGATATTCCCTGGTCGTGTACTCGAATGAGAAACACGGAAAAACCAAATACAAAACAAAAGACCAACATCGTAATCCATATCAAATTAAGTGCAATGTTAACCATGTGAAATCCTCAAATGAACAGTTATACAAATTGTAATATAAACAGTTACCGCATACATATATCGTGCACGGCACCCGTCGCTAGTTTTAAATTATAAAATTTTAAGTCATAATACTTTATCTACCCATTCCATTTAAATGTGTATATACCAACACAATCACATTTTCAAAACATTTATAAATATTTTAAAGTAGAAGCCAGATGGCTTTTAAGAAACAAATATGTCGCTGCCATGTTTTGTGGCTGTATATGTATATTAGGAAAGTATAGACACAGCAGGTGGCATGCTTTCTCCATTAACCATTCCATGTTTCAAAATATGACCAGAAGTTAAATCAATATTTATCTTATGAACCCTTGTAACATATTTGGGGTCGAAGGTCAAAGGTTATTATTATTGTTAGGGGTCAACATCTGCTTCTACAGACATGGAATTTCATACTTTTAAAATTAGGGTCTGTGGGATATATCTAAGATAGAGATAAAATAACCCCATCTTTAGTTTGTCATTGTTTATTATATATTAAATGATACTTTGTAAAATGTTGATATTTAACAAAGCACGCCAAATGATCATAATTAATGCTTGCAGTAGATCAAATAGTCAAATAGAGAGTGCTGTTTATTTTCGTTAATGGTAATGTGGTGTAATAATAATGCATTTATAGAGTGTCAGAAATACAACACTATCCGACCTTGGTAGGCGTCAGTAGTCTACTCTTTTCTGCACCCCCGCCCCAATGCACAATGAAAGACACACCAGTAATCCCCTGCTATGTTTTCTATGAATAATTATTGTAATATAAAGACCACCTCCTACATTCGATCACATCACCGTAACTTAATGCAACCCCCCCCCCCCATTTAATGATATTTATAATATAAAAGGTTATCGATTGATGACGTCATACCATTTTTTTTTTCGTTGTTTTTCTTGTCATCGTTTTCGAAATACTAAACGCGCTTGTTTTCGCAGCAAGTAGGAACAGACCTTTGTTGAACTGGAATAATTTACATGTATGTTAATATATGACGAGTTATCTCCCATACTAACGCGCGTGGATTTTGCTTGGGTTGTCGGAAGTGTGTTTTAAATGCGATATTTACATTTATTGTCTACTGCCTTTCCTATTTATGCATTATATAATTATGTCGTTATTTTAGATATTGTTCTGCATTACGCCCTTTTCAATATCTGTAATAATTATTGAATAGGGGACATAACTCTAGAAGCTCTCTGCATTTTGTTCTCGATAAAACAAAACCGTTAATTGATACAAAAGTTATATTTTTTGCAACTTGTACAGGGTTTCAACCAGTCGAATGATCATAAAAAGAGTCTCAAGGAGGAACATTTTGTACACGAGTTAATCCACTCACCACCTCCCGTGTCAGCCGTATACTCGCCGAACTTGACCAGTCGGAACCGGAAGTTCAACCCGGGACGTTCTGGTTGCTAGTCCACTGCCATAACCATATAACCACCGCGGATCAATGTTCACCCAAGTATTTTAAATCATCTTCATGGCGAAAGGACTGGCTTACGAAAAATTTTATAACTTTATTTGAGATACAATGCAATCAATAGAAACCAATATAACTTAATAATTTGTCGATTTGGATGATATTTATGACAAAAATATCTTTATGATAAAAATTACGATTTGGTTGAGTATGTTCTTAAAGTCTTTAAACAACATGATTCGACCTTTATAACGATGTTGTAATGTGTAATATGTTTATCAATTTCTACCACTATACACCATTTATTCCTAGCACATGTACTACACGGCATACCGTTACTAATTATAGACACACCAAATATGGCGGGAGGGCAATATTAACCGATATACCATAGCTTGACAGCTGTTTATAATTACTCACAGCTTAAATCTCTATAATCACATTATAAAAATAACAGATTACATCAATTAATTGTTAACTGTGTGAAACCCTCAAATGAAAACACAGTTGAACGAACAGAGGTCCAGTTATTACAATTACAAACAATGAATATTCAACCATGTCAGTGATAGTGAAGGTGGGCGGTGCCTACTAATATTTATAACAACAGATTAGTTTAATAATCAATTACCGAGAGAGAGAGAGAGAGAGAGAGCGAGAGAGAGAGAGGGGGGGAGATGTATGCATATTTATCCACTGATAGCTATTAGATACATAATGAAATGAAATGAAATGGGGTTTAACGTCCTACTGTTCTGGCCGTTTACGTGCACGCCAATGTGTACACGGGACCTCGGTTTTTCGTCTCATCCTAACGACTAGACAGCTGTCCTTGTCAGGCCCTCTGTCCTGCATCACTGACAAGGGTAATCACGCCGGAAAATCTGGATGAACATTCTCGGCCAATGCAGGGATCGAACACCCGACCTCCAGGCTAGCGAATCGGCGTCTTACCCACGTAGCCACCGCCCCCCCCTCTCCTCCCAATATTAGATACACGGGGATGGCCGGAGGAGGGGGAGGGGGCAAATATGAGGTTACGCATAAAACAAAAAGAAGATGTTGTGATTAATATGTATTAAAAGCACAGACGAATCTATGCCTCGGGGTTACCTCCCACCTAGTTGTGATCGGCTTGCACTTCTGAAATCCACGTCCAAACCATGACCCCAGTTAGCAGGATAGACGTAAACTGTTTCTAATATTACGTCTCATGATTTCACGTAGCTAACAAACTTTTGTAGTAGGGGTGAGTGGTGAGGGGGGGGGGGAGGGGGTCCACTCGACACAAACTAGGTTATTTCTGGACTTAAACACGATATTTTTAAATTTGACTAATGATTCTCGTGCAGGGGGTCTTCAGAAGCCGGTAGACACGCCGTAGTACTCGGAATAAAATCACGAGGGTAGTACCGAGGCGGGGGAGGGGGTATACACACGATATTCTTATAGTTGACTAATGATTCTTGTGCAGGGGGTCTACTACAGAAGCCGGTAGACGCCGTAGTTAGTACTCGGAGTAAAATCATGAGGGTGATTCCGAGGCGCGCGGGGGGGGGGGGGGGTGGGCTATGTGTTCTACTGATGAAGTTGCAATGGAGGAAAATGCCTTAAGCGTACTTTTGATAAACCCATAAGTTTATTTTTTTAGTTTTAATATTTCACCTTTTGTGCTATATTTCACACTTTATTTTATATTTTATGCATCAACTTTGTATATCAGTGTGCAGCACTTCTGAAATGTATGTATAGAACGAATTTTAAAAAGTTATTATTATTATTTTCTTAAATTCTATTTTCAGATCTGTACACCCGTTACCACCTTCCTATGGACCGACTGTCTGGAAATGGTCTCATCAATCCCTCGGGGATGGCTTCCACGGTGCACGGCAATCCCCAAATTGTACCCGGGGTCATCAAACAGGCCCTAGAATTGGACGGTCGGGTTCAATACGCCAGAATAGCTGGTTCTAGTCATAGAGCCGAATGTTTGGGTGATCTTTCAAAATGTCCGGATGGTAAGTGACAATTTAAAGGAGTTAAACCACTTTTAAAAGTGAAATACTGTATTGAATTTGATGGACCTTAATAAAATTCAACTCAATTATGATGTGACAAAATCTTCCTAAATCTCCGGATGGTAAGTGGCACCATTTAAGGAAGCCCAACCATTTTGGTTTATGTCAAAATACAGTGCTGAATTGGATTGACCTGTGGAGGCTAAACCATTTTGGTTTATGTCAAAATACAGTGCAGAATTATATTGATCTGGGGAGTTATTTCAATTAATCTGTTGGGTTAAAAGGGTGTTGGGCCTAACATTTCAAATATAGACAAATATCCACTTTATAAATCAAATCAATGCATGGGATTCTTCTACTGGAACCCCATTACACTAGAACAACCACTGGATTCTACAGTTCGGATATTGAATGGACAACCTAAGACGACTTTGATTTCTGCCGCTGTCTCTGGCCCGAGATGGAGATGTTATTAGCTTCATATTTTAATTTGAGATCGTCAAGATTCGATTACATTCAACTACCCTCTCAAAGACCAAAATATAAGAAAGTTCCTTGGCTATAACCAGAAGAAAATACCAATGGGACTTGATCTGCTTATCCCACAGCATGATCTCATTGATGAGAACGCTGAATGAACCAGCTAATGAAATCATTAATTTTATTACAGGTTATTTTCTGTCCATGTGGCTTCAGTTCAAGGATCATATAACAGAACGTGGTGTTTACATGTCCAACGGTGGAGAACGACAGGACTCCCATGGTATCGCTATGTATTACGGCGACGGAATCCTCGAGTTTATCTTCAAACATCCCAATGGACAGACCTGGTCGGTTAAGGACAGAAATTTCCTACCAAAAAGATGGTACCACGTTGCCGCATCCTGGGATCAAAATAAAGGTCTCCATTTGTTCGTGGATGGAAACCAAGTGAACCATGATAACCGACCAAAACGAGGGTCAAGTGTTAGACGAACAGCCTACAACGACTTCATCCTCGGGAAGTCCAACTCCAATGACAGAACTGGTCGTCTTGGCACCATGCTGGTGGATGATTTTAGATTTATCTCGGGTTTTAGAAATAATAAGGAAGTCCGAGAATCAGGTAATCCCTGCAAATCTTTCTCCTTTTTCTGTATATTATATTAAAACATTTACATTCGAAAGATGTAAAACTAATTGTTGCTGGATATTTGTTAGATATTGTTACTACTGACTTTATCATTTTTTGTTAAAAATTTCATAACAATTACAACGTTTCAATACTGTTGTCTTCAATATAACCGCGAATTTATTGAAACTCAACGCGCTTTCCCACTTAATGGAAGGGTGTTTTGTATGAGCGTTCCTTAAAATCGTCAGTGTATCTCAATTTAATTTAAGTTAAATCACTCAAATCAAAACTTCTTGTGTATTTTGCATGTTCTGTAATTTGTCCTTTCATGTTCATAGCTTCTGGATTCCAGTATTTGTAAACGATTTCTTTATTTCAGGACCTATTTTCCGTTATCATATGGATATGGATGAAATGGAAGGAAACACAATGACATTTCCACACATAAACGCCCAAGTACATGGAAATGCTCGACTCACAGATGAGGCTGTTTTGAACAAAGCTTTAAATTTAGTTGGGAATGGACAGTACGTTGACTTGGGTAACTTTCCTGGAACTTGCTTTGGAGACCTGATGAAGTGTCAGCACGGTATCACTCTCTCCTTCTGGGTGAACTTCCCCAGACTCGATGGAGACTCCAGATATCTGTTCAGCTCCCCGAATGGTATTTCCGTTTACTACAGCGGTAGTCGTCTTCATGCTGATGCACATATGGGAGACAGAAACTGGGCTGCTTACTACACAGGAATCCGGGCGAGGCAGTGGTACTTTGTTGAGATCTCCTGGAACCCAGAACTTGGTCTGACCATGTTCGTTGATGAAGAGCGCGTTGCCTTCCAACCTAGAGACTCCCACCGAGGTGTTTCCAGACGAGATCACCGAATTCTTATTGGAAAGGAAGCATCAGCATCCTCACTTGGAGAAACTAATACAGCCATCGCTATGGTGGATGAAGTAGATGTTTATTATGCTGACAGAGAAAAGTTGGTCGATCTTGGAGTAATCCGAAGAGGTACGAAATTTATATGTTATAATAATTTACTTGTAATCGTAGTAATTCCCACAAATCAAATTGCCTGGTTTGCTGTATGAGCATCGTTTGGGTTGAAATGAGTTGAAAAACGGAAAATTGAAAAGGTACGTAACTGTGGAATTTATGGTTTTTGCAATATATTATGGTGAGAAACAATGTTGTTTTATAGAACAAAGATTACATTCCAATTGTGGTCGTATATTGCGTCTCCTCCGTTCGTCCGCCCGTCCGTCCATCCGCTGTGGGAGTATGTTTCGTTACCTGGCAACCTATCTTTAATTATATTTTAATCATTTATTGTTATAATCCAGTATTTTCCTCTCTTTTATCAGGACGACCGGTTCCTTATCATTTTGATTTTGAGCGAATAGAAGGCAACCGACTGGTTCACGATTCTATACTAGTAAATCTTGAAGGAAACCCTAGACTCCGCCAGGGAAAGATTGGTAAAGCTTTGGAACTGAACAGAAACAGACAAGTTGCTGATTTCGGTCGGCACAATCAGATCTGTTTTGGAAATTTGGATTATTGTCGAAATGGTGCACTATTCTCATTTTGGATCAACCCGTCCCAGTTGAAAAGAAACACTTACTTTGCATCCACGGGAAACAATGGCATCACTTTACATTACAAAAACAGAAAGCTAATCGCTAAAGCTGAAACGTCTTCAAGAACTTGGGAAACATCTACAAACAAGTTGGTGGTAGATAAATGGCAGTTTGTAGAAACATCCTGGCATCCAGAGACTGGATTAAAGCTTTATATCAACAACGAGATGGTTGGGGAGGACACCCGACATTCCCAACGAGATGACAGAAATCCTGGTGCTGCTGATCAAGATGATTTCTATTTGGGTAGAGGTAATCTAGATATGAACGATAACAACTACGCTAACGCCATGTATGATGAGTTGGATTTCTGGTATGCTGATCGCGATTATTTGACTGCTCATGGATACATCCAGAGAGGTAAGTTTAACCATAATTATATTTTATTATGACAATAAGTCTTCTGCTTGTCAATAACAGTCGAAGAAGGACAATAGTCAAAACATGTTGTATTACTTTAAATTATACGAATCGGACACAAGTTACTAACTTATAAACGAGTCCTCTCCAATACAATTGTCGTAGGTTGTCAGTGAAACAAAGTTAGTAGATTTACATACCTGTCAGATACCAATAAACAATAAATTAACAAAATAAACATTTACACTGGATCAGTGTATTTAAAATATGAACCACAGAATAGCAAACCGTATAGCATACCTTATAGCATACCTTACTCTACCAATTCGAGAATGATCGACATGAAACGTGACATGCTTGTTTGTTTTTTTCAAATAATTGCGCATCGATTGGCAGACTTTAAGTTTTCATATGACTTTAAAATTCCAATATCGCTAGTTCCTGATGCCTAGTACGACTGGGTGTATTACTGCAAGACCAGCATTATAATTCACAGAAGACTGATATTGTATTCTACTATCAGCCTTGGTAGGAAACAACGCGGTCTGTATCTAAAAGAGCTAAACCATCAAGCTCTTTATTGTACATATCGACAAGATGGATCAGTATGTTCTGTTATTACTGAGACCAGTATATAACCAAGATCAGAAATTATACAAGTTGTTTCTTTTTAGGTAAACCAAAGCATTACATTATCGATTTTGAAGAAATTGACGGAATTCGATTGATTCATGAAAGTTTACCAATTCGAGTTGTTGAAAATGCTAAAATTATTCCTGGTAAAATTGGTAACGCTTTGGAACTTAATGGTAATAGACAGTATGTTGATATTTCTGGTCGTAATGGCGAATGTCTTGGTAACCTGGCACTATGTTGGCAAGGTAAATATATTCTAAAACCCATAAACATTTGAAAATCCCGTAAGTATGGATATAATCATGATTAACTGTAGCATCTTATACATTTAAATTATCGACCGGTCGTTTTACGATCACTGTATTTTACTACGTAAGAGAGATAACTCCCATGACGTATTGACTGGTCACATGACGTATTGGCTTATTGGCTGGTCACATGACGTATTAGCTGGTTACATGATCACATGGTTGTCAAAAAAGATTTGAGACATGGGAATATAACGTCCGTTATTTAACAGTAACGATAGAGAAACAATGGAACTCGCGGTGGAATCATGGTTTTCCTTATGAATCCGTTATTTAACAGTAACGATAGAGAAACAATGGAACTCGTGGTGGAATGTTGTTTCCTTATGAATAAAAATAAATATGTGGTAAGGATTAGAGGGGATGTGGTAATAAATATGTGGTAAGGATTAGAGGGGATGTGGTAATCAATAATGAAAGAAGGTAAACAGATTGTAATGGAAGTATTTATTTATTTATTTATTTATTTATTAAGCCAAGCTGATATATAATTCTTCTGTTTGGTGTTTTGAGCAAACAGTAACTGTTCACTTGTAATTGTCTACCATATCAAAACAGACAAGTCAATTTATTATAGCTAAATTGTGTGTTTTAGTTGTATTTTACGTCCGCTTCCACCGAGATGATATCGCAGACAATTATAGCTAAAACGAAACCTGACATAAAATAGAAGATGATTGTCGAATTGATATGTGAGTGTCTTATTTGTAGGTATTACCATATCGACGTGGATGAGATTCCGTAGGTTCGAAAACAACATGGTGTTTTTATCTACGGGGAAGAACGGTATATTAGTGACGTATAGAGATGGTTATATCTACGTCACAGCAGACGGTAGAAGTCAGGTGACTGTACCAGCTTTAGAGAGGAATAGATGGTATTATTTTGAAATCACGTGGCATCCGACCCATGGACTGAAAGTTTATGTTGATCAAATGATTGAAGGTAATACAATAGATAACGTGCCTGAAGAAAAGTAATTATATTACCCCCCCCCCCAACCTCCTTCTCCCATACACCCACCATTTATTACTGTATATAGATATGTAAATTGATCGTTTATTTCTGAAAGACCCGTATGTCAGTTATTAATCGATTACTTTAGAGTACATCTCGAAGTCGAGTTATACACGTCGAGTTATACACCACAAGTTTTACTGGTAGAGGTAGATATACATCTCGAGGTCGAGTTATACACCACAAGTTTTACTGGTAGAGGTAGATATACATCTCGAGGTCGAGTTATACACCACAAGTGTTACTGGTAGGGGTAGATATACCTTACCAACAATTCCCAATAGTTTCATTTTCCGTATGGAATGGAACTCCCCCCGACATTCCCAACTGGTTTGAGAACAGACATCTCCGTTCAATTTTATTTCAATAATTCGCTGAAATCTTTAGCTGTATAAGGAAAACAAGTTTGGACAGGTGACCCTACGCCCTGTCACGTGCAATATAGGGTCATTTGACTCAATGACTGAACTTATGATATAAAGCGCACGCGGTTCGACCAGTTCACCACCCAACCCAGCATGGACCACATAAGTTGAATATCAATCTCAGAACCCACTTGGCTCTTTCTTAAACAATTAAAGCGACACATTCACATGTCGGTATTTTTATCCCTGTAGGTTCGGCCCCGAGTTCACCGTTACGAGATGCTACAGGAACTGATAGAACTGGCAGTTTCTATATAGGACGCCCTAACGCTGGTGATACCCCTGGTGGACTCTTTGCCTTTGGTAATTTTGATATCGATGAGATGGAGGTTTGGTATGGCCGCCGAGAAGACCTAATGGCGTTTGGTTATATCAGAAAAACCCGACAAGGTAGGTTCTACAATATATTTTACACGTAGATAAAAATACTACCAGTTTGTGAATGCTGAATTATAAAAAGAGACATACTGTCAAAAAAAAGAATAATATATTACTTTGTTTTTAAAAATTGAATTCAGAAAATGAAACTGAGAATATCGACAGTATGTCTCTTTATTTTGTGTGATTTCTAAATAAATGGGTATGATAATATCATGATCTATCATCCTACATTCAGCATCGTTAATCATTCAGATCATATTGTATCATGGTATAACCGTCTATATAATGTCGCCATTATCGCGCTCAGTATGACGTCATATGTTATCTGATGGCAAAGGTCCAGAACCAATCGAAAGTAGACAAATCCGGTGAGAAATAAAGGGGAGTATTGATTTATGAACAGGGTTCCTGCAATGCGCATCATTATTTAACTTTGCAGCTCAGTTCTTCATCAGTGAATTTTATTAATTCAATTAATTTATACTATATTGTGGCGGGGCGTCCTCTACATCATGGTGTACACGTGGTCCACGGAAGTCTTAATATATAGAAACCTTATCCAAGTAAACTCGATGCCGTTTTCATTCACTGGGACGTTAGATTCTAGCCCATATTTGGCCTATTGGGTAATGAAAACCCTATATCTGGTGCACATTTTATTGACATATCTCCTATGTTGGTTTCTTCTATAGAAATATTACCAATATTGATCATAAAATATTGATTACATTAAAATATAACACTAAATTTCTTTATATATTCCATCAGCAAAGTCATAATTAATATCTATATATTTAGGCTACTAACTAGAGAAAATAATTTACATATATTCATCTCATCATATTCTCTATTCTTATTAATCAACATTGAAAATAAATGTATGTACAAATGTCGGGTTTTTTTTTGTACCCATGTGTTCAGACTACCATAAATTAATCAACTGTAGAAGACAAATTAGCTCTTTAGAATTAAAAAAAAATGGGATTAATAATATAAAGAGCTGGGCTGTCTTTTATGATTAACTTCATCTTCATATGATTAAATGTTGTACATATATTTCTCTATATTTAAATTTAACGCTTCTAGATACGGAAGAAGGTATAATATTTCATTATATTAATAATTATCGCAGCATCTCATTCTAACATAATGCTTTACGATCTCTTATACCTCTCTTAGCACTATTGCACGTCATTTTTCATTTGTGATCTATGTTTGCACTTCAGCACAATAAGATAGTCCCTAAAACAGAGCCTTTTTGGATACCTTACTGTAAAATCTTCCCAACATATTTTTATCTGACAAAAAATGATAACAGCGCATAAACAACCACCTATTTATTTGATTTTGATTTGCATGGGACATAAGCTAATTTACATATTTATACTTGTATTTCATTTTGTTTCTGTTTTAAATTTACACTTTTATTATTTTTGTTATTAAATTATAAATGTTTGATACCATTATTTATTTTACCGAATTCCAGTCATGAATTTCAAACAAACAAATGGGACAATAAAAAAATTAGCATATTTCGAACTAAATTATTTCGTATTTTCTTTTCTGAAATAATTTTTGATAAAAATTAAATTAAAAAAAAACCGTAATAAACAATAAATTAATGTTAACGCATGTTATTTTATATGCAACTCTTTTAATAACTCCGATTTAAAAAATTTATTTAGTTTTGTCTTTAATCAAAATGTCTAGCATGGAATAGGAATAAGCATTAAACTACAATTAGAGAGAATTAAAATATTATATTTTAAATATTTATTACGGATAAGCATGAAAAATATAAATAATGTAAAATAAACATAGATTATTATGCATGGCTACATGTGATAACACTTTATTTGTAATTTAATTAAATTGATCTACTTATATGAAAATAATATAATATATTATTATACTTATAAGAGAAAATATACCATAATGTTTTTCATAATTCTTAAATAAATGAAAGTCATTTTAATTTCGCGAAAAATAATGCCTTTTTATGTATAAATAATTAATACAATATGTTTGAATCCTGAATAGTTAACAATTATAGTGTTTATATTTGTAACCTTTATAGATAGTATTGGTTGAATTACAAAAATCAGTTCCATTTCAGTTGTTTGAAATGGGGAGAGTCTCAAATCTTATTCGCCGCCTTCCGCTCGTTTGGCGTTTCTCTCTCTCTCTCTCTCTCTCTCTCTCTCTCTTAGTTTCTTGTAGAAATCTTTATGTTACACATCATATCGCCAAAAATGACAGTCTCGCTCACTTCTTATTTTCAAATTTTAAATAAATGAATTCTCCGGGAACAAAACCGGGATGGAAGGACGGGACGACTGAATGGCGCCCATTCCAATATCCGACTCGGGATATAAAACACTTTTCAAAAGTTTTAACTTTAAAAGATATATTAGAATCATATCACGATGTTTAGTGTCCAGAAATATTGATTTGTAACGATGCTGTGTCACTGCTATCAGTGAGCTTGTCATGTCAGCAAGTAATGTCTGTAGTAAACAAAGAACAAAGTGGAGTAACTCCACCACGGTTTTAAATATATGCCGTATTACTTTATTAAACTGAATATGGTTGATTTAGTTTAAACCATTCACGAGACTGTCGTTTATATTATCACTTCTCTCTCCCTGTGAAGCTTTCCTGTCAGCCATTAGTCATTCACCCAATCAGTGTTGTATTCTCTCAGCTTCTTCTATTTTTCATTTTATTCACATTTTCATTTTCATTTTTATTCACATTTTCATTTTTATTGTCATTCCATTATGCACGAAGTTAATGTTTGATGTTATGTTTTAATACTTGTTATTATTGATGTATCCACCCTAATATCAGCCCTGCAACCGAATCACGTACACTTATTATCCCACCTTTACTCAACTTTTGATTTTGCCAATTGCCGTGCTTTTGTTGATTTATGTTTCTGTCACATCATCGAATGCAAAACAACATTTGTTTACATTTGAATATGTTCACTTTGCGTTTGTTAAAATGCGCAAACATATGACAGTGCGTTGACAATATTTTCCCATTGCACTCATATATTTGTATAATGCGCCTAATACACACAAAATGAGATCTCTTTGAACTGCCGGAATAATGATTTATTCTTTTGTATATAATTTATGACCTTACATGTAAATCGATATTAGAATTTGCAAAATCAATTTGATTTATTTATATATATTTTTAATGATTAGAATTTAAATGCATATAATTTAGTTTAGATTTAGCTTAGTAATAAAAGCTATTTATTTCGTTAACGTTTTAACAATTTTTATATCAATTTAATTGCATTGCATGTGCCCAGGTCCTTAGATGCTTCTTGTTACTTTACCTGCAGATAATTTTGGACATGAGACTTTCTCCTTTGAAAACGCCGTGGGTGATAAGGTTGACCATGTGGTATATACTGTACTTCTAGTCAACGGAGCCCGACTTACTCGAGGCTTGATCGGAAACGCAGTATTATTGGATGGACGAGACCAATACGTCAACCTGGACGAACATCCTAACAAGTGTATGACGGAGCTGGATCTGTGTACCCATGGTTTTACGATCTCCTTGATGCTGAATCCGAGAACTCTGAGAAATGGTAACTACTTCCTTTCCAGTCCAGCTTATGATCTCTATTACCAGGACAGAAAGCTTCATGCCAAGTTCCGCAGCAAAAATCGATCGTGGACAGTTTCCACGGATCGGTTACGAGAAGATCAATGGCAGCATGTGACCATGTCTTGGCATCCTATTAAAGGTTTGTCTTTGTATCTGGACGATGTTCAGGTCGATTCAGCCTATGGTACCGAAGAAGCACTAGGGGATCAGCCTAGAAGCAGCACCGTGTATCTGGGTAAGAATGCCTTGAGTGATAGAGAACGAGCTACAGCTAATACCATGGTGGATGAGGTACAGTTCTGGTATGATGATTTAGATCACTTAAAGGCAACTGGACAATACGGAGGTAAGTCAAGTCATGCAATTACAATTACATCTTTAGTTCCTTTTTATGTTTCTGATTTTCATATATGTTTGCAAACAAAGCTGTAATCTTGAGGATTTATGACGATGATTTGAGCAATTCTCTAGTTATATCCAAACATACGCCCAATAAGCGAGTTAATTCAGTTCATGTTACTTACTATACTATCTTTCCACTTTTACTTCAGCTCCTATCAATCCCCAACGAGTCAACTTTGATTTACTACGTGGAGGAAGTCTCCAGGTCGGTAATAGAAGAATCGTTGTTTATGGAGGACCTAACACTGTACAAGGACAGCGATACAGAGCTTTGTTCCTCAATGGATTAAACCAGTACGTTGATCTCGGACAGAACTTTACTTGTGCTGGCAACTTGGATAATTGTCGCCAGGGCGCCACGATTAGATTTTTTGTGAAACCCGAGCGACTCCAAGATGGCATGTACTTCATCGATTCCTATCCTCTTCGAGTGTATTACCGAGATGGGAAACTGTTTGCTGAGATGCAAACAGCAACTCGTCAGTGGGATGTTTCATCTGGAGGATTTGAGGCTGGTAAATGGCAGAATGTTGAATTATCTTGGCATCCAACAGTGGGATTGGGAATGTACCTGAATGGTCGCCGTGTAGCTCATCAAACCTACCCAACCATCCGAGCTCCAATTCAGAATGATGATTGGAGGACGTATGTTGGACGACCATTAATTACTGGAGGTGACCGGAGATATGCCAATACTTACCTTGAGAACATTGAATTTTATAATACTCGACGTGACTACATTCCTAGTGCCTACCGTCCTATACCACTACCAGACCCTACTCGACCACCTCCTCGGACCAGACCACCTCCACCACGAACTCCACGTCCACCAGTGTATACACGAAGACCAGATCCCAATGTCTACGTCAATGGAAGTAAGTACCTTTATTTTATATATTACCCAGGAGCACAGTATCCCCCCACTTTAAGATCAATATACTTAAGGTGCACAAGGTTATCTTCGAGTCACCACGTTTTGCCTCTAGTTATATAACTTCGATTAAAGGGGTGGCCGGTTGTCTAAAACACAAGCATTAAGTACAAACAGTATGGCCCGATCATGGACCGACCAAGACAGACAAACTCACATAGATTCTTGTAGTTATGCTTGTTATTACTGTGCATACTCATGTGAAACCACGACATACTTGAAATTCTGATTATCGGGGGCCACGGCGGCACAAGCTCATTAATCAGGTGGTCCGCGATCGATCCCAATGTTGGCCGTCGTGGTGAACAGTGAATAACCTAGAGGGCTGAACTACGGGGACTCGAGTGCCTTCTTTGAATGTTGAATTCTACAAGTTAGATATCAACTTTCTTTTTCTTTTTCTTCTCTCAAATGGAACTTTGACAGGCAGGTGTCAAAGTAATACTCAATACTCAATACTCAATGCCTTTAGGGCAGCTTTCTTCCTTCGGTCACCGTTTATTTATTTATTTTTATTCTGTCAATCATTGTAAAATTATAAATATGGATTCTGTGCGTTGTTGATAATTTTAACTATGTGCTAATTTGAAGAGGTGTCGTTAAAAATGTTGGTCATAAATAATAAACAGACCTCTAAACTACCATGACCAATACATGATCTAAACTAACCTGACCAATACATGACCTAACAACATGCTGCGCATGCTCCTGACACCGTATGACGCCATCTTGTATATTGAACAAACTGGGGAGAGGGGGGGGGGGTCTAATTGTGAGATCTAATTAGCCGGGAAACGAAGTTACTGATTCCCCCATTCCGATAAATGAAATAAGCATGTTTAATTCATTTGCATCTATTTTGAAGGAGTGAACTGTTAATAACACTAACTGATATAATATACATTCTTTTAAACGTGCGTTATTTAATATACCGTGTTTAACATGAAACTTGGAATATTGCCAGAACCTGTTAATGGTCGACGTCTGACATGTATGTATAGGCTATCAGATTCCATTCCGTTCATTCATGTAGAGAATTATCTGGTTCAGATCGAGAGAGTGGGCGGTGTCTGTTCTATTTAACATTTATTAATCAAATCAAATAAGCCTGAAAAAAACTTCTAAATAATTGGAACTGTTTTACCAAATAAATACAAAGGTTGTCAATAGACTATAGCTATATAAACTATAGGATTACACAAATAAATACAAAGGTTGTCAATAGACTATAGCTATATAAACTATAGGATTACACAAATAACTGAGGAAACTAGAAAACTATCCAAACACAAATAAATGTAAAGATTAATTTTGTTTCTATAGAATTCTGTAGGAATAAAAGTAAATAAAAAACTATATAGAATTATTTTGAATCTTATAGTCATGTGAAAAATCTACAGAATGAAATCTTTTTCCTGTAGTATTCTATTTCGTTCTATATTAGCTGGTTCGGACGAGACAACCACAAATATTCGCTGTAGAAGGAAAACGCTGATGTGTCTTAAGTTTTAGGGTTTCAACTTAGGCGAATATCAGTCCCACAGCCATGATTTTACTCCAGGCGAATATCAGGACCCCAGTCATGGCCAATCCACTTACAGAAAAACATATCTTGTTATTTTCAAAATGATATGTAACGATATTAGCATGGTTTGTTTTGTTCGATTACTTTGTTGAAGAGTTGACAATAAGGGCGTGGTCCCACGATCCATTGGCATGTTTGGTTAGTAAACGACAGTTTGACCTTTCAGCTCAAAGGATGCTATCAACTATGACCTTTTGGGTTCGCTTGGGGTCAGTTCGTACTGTGATGAGAGTATCCATATATTGTGACCCTTGACCTCATTATTTGAGAGTTTAAAGACTGAGTCTGGCTGTGTTTAAAGGCGTATCATCATTTGATCTGTAGACCAACGTCGATATTGTAATCTAGTCTTTCTCTCCTCATCATCATGTACATAATAATAATGCCCCTCGATTGAACGCTTCTGCTAGTACAAACCAACTCGTACTTTGAGATCCCAGCATCAAAATATTTTGTGCATTCCATCATCAATATAAAAACAGTTCGGAGATAGACGCTCTAGTACTGCTGCACCAACAATTTACCTCGAAATATTTGAGACAGCAAAACTCTTACAAACAATCTTACTTAAACTAAATTGAATAGATATGTATATTCACCTTGATAGTGAAAGACTGATCCCATATCGGGTAGTTCTTGGGTTCAATTTCTTGGAGTTACCCAGCCTGATTTTCCTATGCCAGTGGTGTAGAACGGTGGGTCTGGCAATGAAACGGGTCTGGTGATACGACAAGTCGTGGTACCGTGTAGGCTATACTATCGACAGAACCCTGACAGTTGGAAGTCAAATCGGAGTAGCGTGAAATACAATTTCCCTCATAGCACACCCAATATGGTATATTTGTCTTCATTAACATAGGTTGGTATTAAATAGAGAGAGAGAGAGAGAGAGAGAGAGAGAGAGAGAGAGAGAGAGATTGGTTTAACGTCCACTCGCCACAAACCAGGTTATTTCGGCACTAACGTATAGGGGTCTTTAGCAGTGGGAGGAAACCGGGGAATCGAAACCACGCCAGCGGACTCAATGACAGACCTTATGAAACAGCGCGCACGTGCTAACCATTCGGCCATCCAATCCCCCTTGGTGTTAAAGTATAGGAAGTTAAAGCCGATAATTTAGGTAGAATGCGCACGGTTAGTTCGAGTATAGAGAAAGGGTTAAAATCTATAAAGCTGGAATGTTTTGACTGAAACAAGTTGATGATACTGAGATAAATGAGGACAGGTGGTTAAAATCACATGTCTTACTTACTTCAGTAGTTTTCATTTGGTCAGTTCCAGATTTATGAACAGCAACATTCTCTTGAAACTGATGGGTCGACAAAGGTCATCTGTGAAACAAAACTTTATTTAGATCCTTATTATAATGAATGGTTGGTGTGGGAGGGGGTTAATGCGTACGCATTTGATCGTAAGGTCTGTCGTTGAATAGAGTGGCGTGGTTTCGATTACCCGCTCCTACGTGCCAAGGAGTAGGATCACCTATGGAACCTCGCGGGTGTTCTCCAGGTCCAACGGTTTCCTCTCACTGCTAAAGACCCCTACGCGAAAGGGAATTATAGAAATAACATTAAACCATATGTTAGCCCCGAAATGAAATAGTTTGTGTTGAGTGGACGTTAAACCCCATCTTTCTCTTTATTATAATGATTTGGACAATTGAAAGTTTTTTTGAATTAAGAAAAGCCTTAAGCTAAAATGATCCGTTTACAGTAGGTTAAATTGACGAGTTTACACTAGGTTTTGCAAAGAAGAATCATCGGGTTCGCCCTTGTCAGTGGTGCAGGACAGAGGACCTGGAATGGGATGTCAACGTATAGTCGTTCGGATGGTATTGAAACCCGAGGTCCCGTATACACATGGGCATGCACATAAAATTGGTATTCTAATTAAGAGTAGACCGTAGTGCAACTGTCCGAGCAAACCTTCCCTTTATAGCACACTGCATGGCGTATACCCGTCTTCATTAACCCAGTTCACAGAAGAACAGTAGGACGTTAAACCCCATTTCATTTCATTTCTATAACAACTTTTTTTATTACAAGATTTACGTTGGTTCTAAATTTAGATTTGGGTAACGGTGTAGATAAGAATAAGGTAAACACGTGTACAGCGCTAATTCCACACTTTAACTATGCTGTATGCTGCACACAATTAAATATACCGTTTATATATAGGCTACAATCAATAGATCTAACACTTTTGATAAATGTCCGAAGATATACAGCACTATATCCACCCAGAGGTTACCAAATAGTATTTGATTGATAGTCGAAATTAGCTCTAACGAGTGTCGTATACGAGGCAGTCTAAATGGTCCAAGTGGAATATTTTACATTTCATCTAGTCACTTACTGGTTTTTTTTTTTAAATAGAGCTGCGGTGACTCAGTGGAAGTCCCATGTTCGATCCCGGTGTCAACCGAGAAATTTTGTCTGGTTCCCCCGTGTCGTTCGGATGGTACAAAAAATTGAGGACCCCTGTATGGCGGACGTAGGGCGTATATCCCCATTTCATTTTGAAAACAATATATCTGTCCTACTGGTTTAAAATATAGGTAACTGAGATCAGGTACTGACCTATATATATAGCACAACCGGTACAGATAGTAATATATGTTGACCACGTGACAAACATCTTCAGGTTTGTTTATTTTATTTACCTGAGAAAAGGTTAGAGTGTGATGCAAGATGTCAATCATTACCTCATTCCAGATATCCAAATGTTAAATTATCCTAGTAGTTTAGATGTTTGTTAAGGAACACCAACACTGTGTGTTCTAGTACGGACATGTGTTACTGTAACACCAACACCGTGTGTTCTAGTGTTGACATGTGTTACAGTAACACCGACACCGTGTGTTCTAGTGTTGACATGTGTTACAGTAACACCAACACCGTGTGTTCTAGTGTTGACATGTGTTACAGTAACACCAACACTGTGTCTTCTAGTACGGACATGTGTTAAAGTAACACCAACACCGTGTGTTCTAGTGTAGATATGTGTCTTACCGAAACACCAACACCGTGTGTTCTAGTGTAGAGATGAGTCTTACAGTAACACCAACACCGTGTGTTCTAGTGTGCGGATGTGAACATCGATTTGTTTTTGCATCCAATCTATAAGATAAAGTTTCCCTGTCAGTCCAACATGCGCAATACCTGACAACTGAGCACCGGGCTTGATAAATCCCAATTTGTTGTCCCGTCTCTCGCCGGTTATTTATCCGATGTTACTTGTCTTTATTTTAGTTGACAATTGCAATAACTGGTGCTGTTAACAACGTTACACCCTGTGAATAGAATAAAATAATATTTACAGCAAATAAATGCCATGTATTGAGATGACTACAACAGTTA